GTGTTCAAGCACAGAAAATACGGTTCTACAAGATGTCGTTTCCTGACAGTCATACCACATAATTACCTTTTTCCTCTGGAAACGCAGTACTCTGGTATAAAGGCTGCATGTTTATGCTTGCAATTTAGATTTGTGGAGTCACTGTTATTGACAAAAATTTCCTAATCTGCTTCTTACCAGTCTTGGGACATTTACTTAATTTTTAATTTTTAAGTGACAGAGTCCCCATGTGTCACCCAGGTTGGAGTGCAATGGTGAAATCATAGCTCACTGCAGCCTCGATCTCCTGGGTTCAAGTGATCCTCCTGCCTCAGCCTCCTGAATGGCTGGGACTACAGGCATGTACCACCACACTTGGCTACTTTTCCATTTTTCCTTAGTAGAGACCAGGGTCTTGCTATGTTACTCAGGCTAGTCTTGAACCCTTAGCCTCAAGTGATCCTCCATCCTGGGTCTCCCAAATGCTAGGATAACAGGCATAAGCTGCTGTGTGCCAGCAGTATTTATTTTCTTGTTGAGAGTATCTAGGTGTGGCCATCTTTGACAGTGTAGCATTAAAGGTTCTCTGTTCCAGTCACAACTAAACAAGCAATAATACTACTCAGATATTAAAGTGATCATTCAGCGCTGGGAGCTTCATCTTTAAGAGAAATGCAGCCCTCAGAGACAACAAAGAAAAACCAGATATTTTGTTGAAGGCTGAGTAAAATCAAAGACTTGTGGGTCATTTGACAGCCAAGAAATGCCATTGTGAAAACTCCAAGAGAAGGTGGAAATTGAGGAATTGCTTTAGGATCATGTTGAATGTCAAGGAATAAAATCGGGATGAAGAAAATTCCCAAATTGTAATATGACTTAGATCTTTCAACAAAGTTACTGCTCCATAAAGCTGTTGCCAAATGCTATTTTAATCAAAGCCAGCATTCACTGGAGCTCAATCCTCAGAGCACAGCTATTTTCACCAAGAGAACTCCGACAGAGTACCAGTGAGAAGCTCAGAGTGATGTTGGCATCATTTAACTGGATTGCTGTTCATTGCTTCCTGAAGAGACAGTGAAGTGTTATTTTTGTTTTATTATTTTTTTGAGACAGGCTCTCACTCTGTTGCCTTGACTAGGTTGCAATAGCATGATCATGGCTCATTGCAGCTTCAGCCTCCTGGGCTTAGGCAATCCTCACAGTCAGCTTCCAGAACAGCTGGAACTACAGGCACAAGCCACCATGCCTGGCTGATGTTTATTTATTTATCTGTTTGTTTGTTTGAGACAGAGTTTCACTCTTGTTGCCCAGGCTGGAGTACAATGGCATGATCTCAGCTCAATGCAACCTACGTCTCTCTGGTTCAAGCGATTCTCCTGCCTCAGCCTCCCGAGTAGCTAAGATTATAGGCATGCACCACCACACCTGGCTAATTTTGTATTATTAGTAGAAAGAGGGTTTCTCAGTGTTGGTCAGGCTGGTCTCAAACTCCCAACCTCAGGTGATCTGCCCACCTCTGCTTCCCAAAGTGCTGGGATTACAGGCATGAGCCACTGTGCCTAGCTGACTTACATTTTTTTAATTTTTATTTTTTGTAGAGACAGGGTCTGGCTATGTTGCCCAAGCTGGCCTTGAACTTTTGGTCTCAAGTGATCCTCCTGCCCTGGCCTTCCAAAGCATCGGGATTACAGGTGTGAGCCACTATGCCTGATATTATTCATTTTTACTGATACTGGTAGCCACTTTCTATCTAAAAAGACTACATCCTGGTGTTGGGCTCTTATGAACCCATCCCTTTCCTACTGATATGCAAATATATTTCCATTACATCAATAATCTCATAGACTTCACCCTTTTTCCTTCAAAAATCTTAGTCACTATAGCCATCAAAAGTATCTTATCATTTGACAAATATACAAATATGCATACAATGAAGGCTAGAAAAATATGCTGAAGTGAAAAAGGAAATGGAAGAAATTAATAATAGACTGAATAGAAAGAAAAGGCTTATATAGCATTTTCAACTCATGGGGGATTTAACAGAGATCTTTTTACACATTCCAAGCCTATCTTCCTAGCTGTTTTATTTCCACTATAGGAAAGGATTAAGCTGTTTTAATTTCATAAAAGTAAGATATGCATCTGTGATGGTTAATTTTGCATTGACTTGAGTGGGCTATGGGGTACCCAGATATCTAGTCATATATTATTCTAGGTGGTTATGTGAGAGTGTTTTTAGATGGGATTAATGTTTAAATTCATAGACTCAATAAAGCAGATGCCCCTCCATAGTGTGGGAGGGCTTCATTCAATTAGTTGAAGACCTAAACAGAACAAAAGACCCACTCTCCCCTGAATATGAGAGAATGCTCCTTGCCAGATGTTCCTGGTTCCACAGCAGCCCACTAACCTTTGGACCTGAACTGGGACGCTGGCTTTGCCGATTTTGAATTTGCTGGGCTTCAGACTCACATGAGCCAATTTTCATAATAAATATCTTTCAATATCTCTCCATTGCACTCTTTCTCTATGTGTGTGCATATCCTATTAGTTCTGTTTCTCTGGAGAACCCTGACTCATATAGCATCTCAGATAGATGTCAGAGTTAGGATTGAGGCTTGCCAGTACATTTTCAGTGCTGATAAGTCCTTTCAGCCTTAAACAGAACTCTTAATTCAACTGATAAGTGACAAGCTATTACAATGCAAATGCAAAAATAAATATTTGTGTGTTGGATAACAATTCTTTGTTATATTAAGAGCTAACCATTATCTGTTTCCAATCAGTAATTGTAAGATTAAGTCTTAGTCAATTAAGATTGAAGGCTGATATCCATAAATTTTCCCCAAGTGCAAGTCCAATCTGTGGTTGATAAGTGAAGGTTATTACTATGACCATAAAAAATACAACCAGTGGTCAAATAGTTATATCTTCATGGTTCTTTAGAAGACATGAAGTTCACAGCCCAAGTATCCTAACTTAAAAACATGGGCATCCATGGCTCAGTCAGGTTGACACATAAAATTAACCAGATGTATATGTACTTGGAAAATTCAAAAAGCTTAGTTCTTTCCTTAAAGCCACTCATGGCCATAGTTCAGGCACATACAGTTGCTTTAAGCAGTTCATTGGCTTACTAAATGAACTCTTCCCATAGACGTTGTCCCTGTGTAGTTTTAGTGACATGTGAGTGGTTTTCTAAGTGTTCTGTTTGTATTTTCCTGTAATCAAAATAAAAACAGTCATACTGCAAGTGTATGTTTTAGAAAAATCTGGTGGTATTCAAGAGAGGTGAGAAGCACATTTCTTTAAACATCCTTCTATTGAGCTTGTGTTCAATTTCCTTACATTTAGGAAGGGGGAAGGCTTGGAGAGCATACCCAAACTACAACTGGTGGGTAGGTGGTCTTCCATTATAACCTCCCGTATTTTATCTGATGCATGCAGGATCATCAGTGCTTACACTAGCAAATAAAGGCACTGCAGGCTATGAGGTAGTGCTCATTTCAATGTACTAATTATTTTAACCAATGTATGAATCATACAGATTTAGGTTGAAAATACAAGTAGCAGGTGCCTGCCTTCAAGGACACTCAGTCATACCAAGGCAGAAAAATAAAACCAACTTAGATATTTCCTCCATACTGACATCTTCCCAAAGCAAAGGTGATGCATCTTCCTAAGATCACAAACTAGTAAGCGATGGTATTTTTTGCTGGGTATTTCCCAAGGAATTTTCTAAGAAGGCAAATAGTTCCAGAGAAATAAGTGCTCACTCTGGTGTTTTTTAAAGACCCAGCAAAATCAATACACCTTGGCTCATCTGAGTGGGTGAGTGAAGAAGAGATCCATATCAGTTGTGTTCCTACTCTGTGCCATACAACATTCAAATAGGTTATCATTTAGCCTTGATAATATTAAAATGTGGGTATCATAATTGGTAATTATAGTCAGAGAAGTTAAGAGGTTAAGCAACTTGCCCAAAGACAACAAAGTAAATAAGGAAGAGCACCAAATTAAAACTATTTCTCTTTGACTCTACTTGATCCAACCATGTCTTGTAACCCAAGCAGATAGTCCCTTGGTGACGGTAATAATGTAATTTCAGCAATAAAGCAAAGGCTTGAGAATTCTGAAACAAACATTCTACTTGTTACTCGGTCAGATTAATGTGATATAAAGCCACCCACTTCCTCAGGTATCACTCTCCTTTCCCCGATTTTTTTTTTTTTTTTTTTTTTTTTAATATGAGATCAAGTCTTGCCATGTTGCCCAGGCTGGAGTGCAGTGGTGCAATCTCAGCTCACTGCAATCTCCATAAAGTCCCAGGTTCAAGCAATTCTCCTGATCCACCCTCCTGAGTAGTTGGGATTATAGACATGCACCACCACACCCAGCTAATTTTTTTTTTTTTTTTTTTTTTTTTTTTTTTTTTTTTTTTTTTTTGGTATTTTTAGTAGAGACTGTGTTTCACCATATTGGTCAGGCTGGTCGCAAACTCGTGACCTTGTGATCTGCCTGCCTTGGCCTCCCAAAGTGCTAAGATTACAGGCGTGAGCCACCGTGCCCGGCCTCCCCCATCATTTTTAAGATAACAGTCATAACACATGTTCCCTGACACAGAACCCATGGTCTGTAAAGATTTATTAAATGCTTTACTGTGCTGCAAAATTCTTGGGGGGAAATATAAGCATAGAGTGATCAGTATAAGAATTTTGCCAAAATTAAAAATGGTAGCTTCTAAAAATGTAAAATATTTTCTTAAGTATTTTCTAAGATGTTATTGAATTAAATTAATACACATATACAGAATACACAGTGAAAAAATATATGCATTTATACTATCTCTATTAAAATGCATTTGTCTGCCTTTCTGCACTTTTTACCTAATATCTTTTTGCCCTTAGCAACTTGGCTTTCTGCTAACTCATTTAACCACATTAATGGCTGTAGCTTCCTTTCTTGAGATGCGTAACTGGTATTATGAACAAACACTGAAGACGCTAAACCGAAGGTGTTACCTAGGATGCAAAGACCATCTGTGCAGTTTTCGGATTCCTGGCTTAGACCTTCACAGAATTTTCCCCCATTTCTCGGGGCTGGTGCTGTGCACTCCCGGATCCGCAAATGTTCACACTCTGGACTGCAGACGGACCATTCACTCCACACTTCCCAGCTCCCGTCCACTTCAAAGGGAAACAAAAGAAGCTATCATTAGATTGAATCAAGTAGCTATCAGGAGACTCACCCCAGGACTGCTGTTGTTCTAGAGCTGGATTTTAAGGAAATAACCACCAAACAGAAACAAAAGAACATATCTACTTATCTTCTCTCTATGGTTTCTTTCCTGAAGAGACAGGCTTACAAAAGCAGTGGTATAATACTCCTGCTATTTCAGGATAAGACCAATTACCAAATTTAGGCAAGCATTCATATTTTCAGCACCACTGGGTTTGCTAAAAATTTGTCATGACCCATTCTTTCCCAGTCTTTCATGCCTAAATACATCTTAAGTGGACAGATAAACTGTGTGCAGTAACCACTGATAATCAGCCACTTTCTTAGGGGTTGATCATTTAGAACAGCATAGAATGAATTACCTTTAACCCCTAGCAACCCCTAAACAATACAAAGTTAAACCCAAATATATTGATAGTATTAAACTAAAACAGGTCAGTCAAACCCTCAAGACACCAGGACTTATATAAATAGAATTTCTTGGGTCATGGACTGCTGCTGTATGTAGAAATGAACAAACTGAATTTAGTTCCACTAAAAAGCGACCCTAGAGATCACGGCAGATGTCTGAGGCAATTGCCCTTTACCTCCTAGGAATAGTCCAACCATGCTTATGTGGGTTATTTAAGATATTGCAATTTTTTGATTTAAAGCAATTAGACAAGAATAGGGTAATATAAGAAAATACTGAACTTGAAGCAAAATGTCTGTGTCCTTGTCTTGGATCTGTCAACTTATCCCCTAGGCAACCCTGGGTGAGTTACTTAGCCTCACTTTACCGTGTCTGCCAACTAGGGATAATAAAACTCACAACACAGGAGTAAAAGACATTATGTATGTAAAAGTATCCTGCACAGTACCTGGCACATAGTAAGCACTCAATAAATGCTTATTGAACGTAAATCCAAAATGAAACTCCAAGAATATGCTGCTGGGAAGAGCCCCACCTTAACTTTGATTGCAACTAAATTTGCAATTTTATTATAAAGACACGAGGCCCTAGTCTGGTGTCCTTGGAGTTAACGTTCTGTAGTGAATGTGAGACCCAGGATCAATTTATTTCTCAGTGGGAGGATATGCGTTCCATAAAGTCATCTTCCATCTCATCTATTTCTTGTTTGTATAAATTGGGTTACAGCCAGTAAGAGACAAAGGAATTTATAAAAGCCATACTTGGTAAATGAAGTATCTCTTTTTACAGAAAGAAAGGTAAGCATAGGCCAAATATAAAACATAGACTGCTGTGACGGTGTCCAGTTTCTATCAATTGTCTTGTAAATCAATACAAAGCTAGAACTGATAAAGTGTTATGATTGACTAATGATAAAGAGTCAAACATTTGTTACCCGTTCTTTTGTGCTTTAAGACACTTTATCGAATCCCTGCTGTTATACAAATACAGGCCACAAGATGGGAGAACCCAAGGAGAGAAGGCGATGGCTTAGCCCCACCAAACACTGACAGTATAACAAGACTTCGTAGCAATTGGCTTATTGATGGTGAATGTTCAGTGTCATCTGAGTATTTAAAAATATGCCCCAAAACATTGCACAGAGGTATTTCACCCATATTCCTGCCGTGACAATGAGCTCTACATTCACACCTTGGATAAAGGTTCTATGCTAAGAACTTGGGAGAGGGTGACTTTGGAAAAGAAGGTAACACTGATTGCTTCACACCAGCTTAATAGTGTTGGTGGATCAGAAGGGAAAAAGGGAATCTGCATATATCTCACCAGGACAAAGAGAAGTGCAGGTTATTTTCTGCACTGACATTCCCTCACAAAAGGCCCCACCATTGAGAGGAGCTGGGTTGGTGCAGGTCCGGGAACGTTTCTGCCATCCTCTACCACAGCGAACATTGCAGGCTGACCACTCTGTCCAGGAAGACCAGCCTCCATTCACTGAGAGAGAAAAATGGGGAGGGGAGAAAAAAAGGAGAGAGGTTTTTACTGATTGCCTACTATGTGCAAGCCACTGTGCCAGGTGCTGTGAGTCAGGCATCCGGGGACCGAGAGGCTGTGCAGCCCCACTGGCTGCTCCATCATGAGACAACAGTGGGGTCACCTCATCCAGTCCTCAGCCTATTCATCTGATATAGGAGGGACACAGAATTTGCCTTGCAGGGAAATTATAAGAAATAGAAAGAAGTGATCAATAAATCTCTAAAGCACTTGAATATCCAGAGTATAAGAAGAAAATATCAGCCTTTGAATATCTACGACTTTAAGTGCTTCAAAAATAAATCCCAGGGCTCTTCTATTGTGGAAGGGAATGCCTTTACTTAAATAGCTGGGAACTTCTTTTATACAATACCTGAGATATTCAGCAAATAGTATTGTTTATTTTTGGAGGATTTCACATACCAGGGGAGAGACTATCTGACAGCAGGTCTAGGAAAAACTGGGGTGTGTGTTGGGTTTGAGAGGCATGGGGAGCAGAAGTAGCCCATCTCAATTCTTTTCAAATATAAACATAATAGAAGAAAATAAACACCTTTTTATTATTTTTAAAAGAGAGATTGGAAATGTCGCTGACTGTCACAAGGAAGTGCAATATTAGATGGAACAGCAAACACATTAATAGAAATCGTGATTTTTTTCACCTGCCAGATGGGGGAGGCAGGATAGAGTACTGCAGTGAATGAACCCCAAGGTCTTTGCAGCTCTCTATATTCAAAGTTTTGATAAAACACACATCCCTCTACCTCTCTGCTTTCTGCCCTCCCTATCCACTCCTGGCCTTTGGGCTGGTCTTACCATAGACCACAACAGTGGCTGACAGGCTCCTCCGTTTAGCCACGATGTTGGCTGCCATGCAGGTATAATTTCCTGAGTCTGAGAGCCGTGCCTGCCTGATGATCAGGTTATGGTCAGCCCTGGTGTCAATGTTCTCATCTTGTTCAGAGTCAATGGGCTCCTCATTTTTCAGCCATTCCACCTACAGGAAGAAAAGAATGTTTACAAGTCACTAAAAAATCAGAACTCTTTCCTGGAATTGCGAGGCGAGCAGATTCAAGTGTGGAAGAGAGATGTATCTAAAATACAGAGCAAGAGTAATGACTTGTTTCTTTATCCCATCGTCTGTTCCTTTTATTTAGTAAATTTGGTTTTATTCAGGAGATGGAGACTCAAGCTAACAAACTGGAAGCAGGAAAAGAACACAAATACCGTACCCATTTTCTAAAAACGCAGTGGAAGACAGAAAAGAGGTGACTGCAATTAGGCCATTTCATTTCATTACAACATTCATGATGATGATAATATTTCAATAATCGGTCCAAAGTAGAGCTCAGAAAAATCAACATATAAATGTAGAACTTATATTTTGTGTTGAGAGGATATTACATTATAAGACAAGGTTTTAAGTCAAGATGCTTGAATTTAAACAAGTTTTGATAAAGGTTTGGGATTGTACCAGGGCTATAGTAATAAAGATTTGAGAAATCATAAGCAGATAAATTTAAAGCTCAGTGCTCTGTAGATTTTGAGATAAGTCTATTTGGTGATCATTTATGTTACTCCTCCAGCGAGCAGAGAGACATTTAGGCCTGGGGTTATGTAGCTGACACAGTTAGGTAGCTGCCCAGTCCCTCTTCTGGAGAAGCTCACCTTCGCTATCCTCTGAGCACAGGCTATTCCCATTTCTGATGTGTCTTCTTCTAGATGCTGAAGAACCTATTTTATTCCTCCCAGTTTTATCTTAGTCTTATCCTTGGTCCAAACTTCTCTTTCCTTGAACACATAAGGAAGACACAGATGGACGCCTTCTGCTCCCTGGATCCTCAATTTACTCCAAGTGGAGATATACCACCCTAAGCCCCTCTATTTTATCACATGCCAGTTTCCTCTGATCTAACTGTGTTATTTCCTTATTGGCTCTCTGCTTCTATACCTAAGCAACCTCTCTACTTTCTAGTGCCCCTTGGTAGGACTAGACATATCTCTTGTTTAGCAACAAACATTCAGCTCTAGTTACAGCATAGGGAAAACACAGTAATATAACAGACGCATCAAAACTAAACTTTATCACAGAAAGCAATGACAGTGATGACATCAAAGAGAAGTCACACAGAAGCATACACGTCAGGGGCATTTCATCATACTCTGATGAATGCTCATTGAAAGCTGGTTTTAGAATAAGATACCTCATTTGATTTCTTCAGTCTAAAGAATTCTAATTTATCACCAATAAAAAGCATCATCTGTTCTATAATCATTTGGTTTAATAATGATTTGTTCATCTCTGTAAAAAGGGATTTATTTACCAGGGAAAAGCATATAACGATACTTCCATACTTACCCCAAGTACTACCCCGTGAATGAGAGCTTAAATACCCCAAATCATCACCATCCAAAACTTACTTTAGAAGAAGTTAATTTGAAGGAAAATGATACCAACTAGCACAAAGAAGAGATCTGAGAACTACAGTAAAACAAAGAAAAACTGCCAGAGCTGAGTGGTACCAGACAATGAAGTCAAAAAGCAAATCTTACTACCAAATCCTGAGGTTCCTGATGGCACCAGTTTGGAAGTGTAGGTACTAACAATGATCAAAGCCAAAAAGCACTGCTCTCTTTTACCAAGTAGGGCATTGGAACCAATTTTATAACACATCTGACTACCAGCCTGTGATACAATGTCTTCCATTCACTACTACCATGGCTTAATTCAGAGTCCTCCATTTGTTCATTTGACAAATATCTAAACATTTGTTTAGAAATTATACGGAGAGCTGGATAAAACTAGGCGAACAAAACCCAGATGGTGTCTTCTTGGTAAGATAAAAATAAGTATATCTACATTCTCACCAAAACATAATACTTGAGAGTCACATTGTCTCACAACAATGATTATAAGAAATAAATTCCTTTCCCTTGAAAATTACCCAGTTTTGGATATTTTGTTATAAGGAATAAGAAGTGGATTAAGACACCATCCTGCTATGATCTGCTTTCTGGGATTTTTTTTACAGTGGCTTCTTAACTAACTTTTTAACTGGTCTGCCTGCGGCTTCTATTCTTACCTCAACAGTTGATTTTAGGGTGTAACACTTACTGTAAAGTCAATGGAATTAGGTCTTTAAATTCCCATCACTACTATGTCACTGCAAGGAAGTGGTTAGCTTAAAGCAGGTCTGGGAACTTTTGCTCCACCCCTACTCACCTTCTAGGTCAGAAATTCAGGTGGAAATTGCCTGCTTTCTGATTAATTCCATATACTTGCTATTTATAGCATCTAACAAGCACTTCTATGTCTCCAGCTCAGCCAGCCTCTTCTTTCATACTTCTCCTCTAACAGTTGGTCAAGAAGTAGAGAAAGTCTGGCACTGACCCATAAATAAATTATTCACAGTAAGTAGACAGCCAGAGAGAGCCCTGTGGCCAGTGCTCCTGAAGATTGAAACTAAAGAAGCCCTAGCACCTGGAAATCAAGAACAGCTGTCCTAAAGGAATCTTGTCTCAGAAGAAAATTAAAGGTACAACTATCAAGAAGAGGCTTGGCCTCAAATTGAAAACTTAAAGAAAAATAAAATCTTACACGAAAAAACTAGGCCAATAAACTAGGAAAATATTTGGCATAATTTTGATAGACAAAAGGTTAATATGAATGGTATGAGTAAAAATAATATGAATTCTCAAGCTTTAAGTTGATAATAAAAACTCATTTCAATAAATCTGGCGTAAAGATGAATATACAGCACATGAAAAAAAATCCACAAAACACATGACAAACAATTGAATAAATATTTTGTAGAACTATAAAGTCTAATGATTAATAAGCTAGAAGGTAGAGCAATATGTTTCCTACCAAAATAGCAAAGATCAAAATCTCTCTCTCAAACACATGGAGCTTTTATTTTAGGGATTTCGTTTGTTTGTTTGTTTGTTTGTTTGTTTGTTGTTGAGAGTGCATACCAGAGAACATTTCAACTATTATGTGATACCACGCTGTGGATTGACTATTTGTCCCTTCCAAAATTCATGTTGAAATTTAACCTCCAATGTGGCAAGATTGCAAGATGGAGCCTTTAAGAGGTGATTAGATCATGAGGACTCTCCCCTCATGAAATTATGAATGAGTGGATTAATGAATTAATGGTTTATCACGGGAGAGAAACTGGTGGCTTCACAAGAAGATGAGAGACCTGACCTGGAACATGTGAGTGCTCAGCCCCATTGCCATGTGATGTCATGTCTTGTGCCGCCTCTGGACTCTGCAGAAAGTCCCCACCAGCAAGAAGGCTCTCAACAGACACAGCTCCCCCACCTTGGATTTCTCAGCCTCCAGAACTGTAAGACATTTCTTTCCCTGAAAAATTACCCTGTTTTGGGTATTTTGTTATGAGCAACAAGAAATGACCTAAGACACTGCCCTACCATGATCTTCTCTGTGGGACCTTTGCAGTGCTTTCTTAAACTGGTCTGCCTGTGGCTTCTATTCTTGCCTCTACAGCTGATTTTCTACAAAGGGATAAGAACATGCCACTTTCTAGCTTGAAATCCTTCAATGGCTCCGAATCTTACTTAGATTTGTTACCCCTAGGCTAACAAAATCCTTCTATGGGGTCTAGCACCCCGTCGGTTACCTGCCTCAGAGCCTCAAGCTCACTCGCCTTAGCCCTGCTGTACTCCTTGCTGCCACAGAAAGCTGAAAACAAGTTCCAGCCTCAGAGCCTCCACACCCACTGATTCCTCTGCCCCGAAGAACTTTCCCATAGGTGGCCCCATGGCTTAATCCTACTTTGCATTTAAATCTCAGTCAACTGTTATTTCCTCACAGTGGCCTTACTTAACCTTTCAAACATAGTAAGCCACTCTCCTTCCTCCCTTCCTGCTTTGATTGTTTTCCTAACGCTTACCTCCATTTGCTAGTCCTTTTTTCCTTGAGACTGCTGGATCACAGCAGTGCAATCAGAGCTCACCATAGTCTTGCCCTCCCAGGCGCAAGCAATCCTCCCGTCTCAGCCTCCTGACTAGCTGGGACTACAGGCACACCACCACACTCAGTTAACTTTATTTCTGTTTTTTGTAGAGACAGGATTTTACTATGTTGCTCAGGCTGGTCTTGAACTCTTGGGCTCAAGCAATCTACCTCGGCCTCGTAAAGTGTGGACATTACTGGCATGAATCACGGTGTCTGGTTCCATTTGATAGTCTTAAAGATAGGTTTATCATTTGTACTTATCATTATAGGTTTAGGAATTTACCAAAAGAAAATATTAAGGGTGCAAGTGAAAATTTAACAACAATAAATTATTTTTGATGAAGAGAGAGAAAAATAAAGAGGAAAAAAGAGGATGAAAGGAGGAAAGAGAAAAAGCATGCTATAGGAACATGTCAAATAATGAAGCTTTTTTGGGGGGGAAGGGGGCTAAAATCATCTGTTAATTTAATATTATGTAAACATTAAAGGTTCTGGTTTCAACTAGTAAAAACACAAAAAAGTGTTCATAATACATGAAAGAGTCAATAGATAAAATTATGTGTATTATCATAAATGTATAAAACAAAAACAATCATAAACATATATATGCTTAAAGTAAACATTGGAAGAGAATGCAGTGTTTATAGAAGTCTTAACTGGGGTAATAGTTTTTTTTTTTTTTTTTTTTTCCTGGTAGTTAATTATGGCAAATTCAAGGTAAAATCTTTCATAATCTAAAAACAAATTAGCTTTTAAAAAATCTTTTACTTATTATGTAGCACAGTGATTTTCAAGTTTATATTTAGCTACAGAATGTTTTTCCAATTCAAAGCTTATCTGAAACCCAAAATGAAAACGAGGATTAAAAAAGGGAAGATAATATGACTGTTGCAGAAGTGAGGTCTTTGAGCTGCAGACGTTGAGGGATCCTAAGATGCATAAACTTGGTCGTGCCAGGCCTACTGTTTGCACAGCTCTGCAAGAGATGATTCACATCCTCCCTTGTCTATGTA